GCTTCAATAGCGGCCTTCAGCTCTTCCACACTGTTCGGTCTCATGTCTCTCATCTTTCTCTTGGCAATTCCTCATAGATTCTCTATGGGGAGAATCCTCATAGATTCTCTATAGGTCAGGCGAGTTTGCTGGCCAATCAAGCACAGTAATCCCACAGTCATTGAACCAGGTTTTGGTGCTTTTGGCAGTGTGGGCAGCTGGAAAATGAAGTCAGCATCCCCATAAAGCTCGTCTGCGGAAGGAAGCATAAAGTGCTCCAAAATCTCCTGGTAAACGGCTGCGTTGACCCTGGTCTTAATGAGGCACAGTGGTCCAAGGTCCTGTTGCTCTGTGGTCCAAAGTCCTCTTTTTTTTATGAGAGCAACTTTTGCATCTCATTTGGAAACCAAGGACCCAGAGGATGAAGGAAGAATGGAGAGGCCAATCATGCACAGTAATCCCACGGTCATTGGACCAGTTTTTGGTGCTTTTGGCAAAAGTTGCTCTCATCAGAAAAGATGAAAACAGGACTTTGGACCACAGTGCTTCATTAAGACCAGGGTCAAAGCAACTATCTTGCTTTGCATGTTATGAGTCTTATCTCATATATTAGTTTACCTTTTAAGTTGCATTACTGAAATAAATGAACTTTTGCACAATATTCTAATTTTTCGAGTTTCACCTGTATATTAAGATATCAGGATAGAAATTAGGAGACTGGTTAAGACATCAGGATAGAAACCAGGACACTATCAATTGTAGCCCTATCTTAGTCATGAAACTGGGTTAGGTGACTTAGGCGAGACATTCTCTCTCAGGCAAAGTTTCAACATCTCATACATTTTGTAAGAGTAATTATGCATGAAGGGAAATCAACTGGTTTGTATTTTTTTGTTTTATTTCATATAAATTTTAAGGGCTTTAACCATCTATTTCATTGTTGGTTTATTTGTCTAATACAATTTACATTTCTTTTACTCACATTTCTTATACTCACCTCTAACATTTTTTCCAGAATTATAAGGGGACAAAAATGAAGGCAGCATTCATTCAAAGGTTTGAAAGGGGGTTTCCCTCCCTAGGACAGATAAGAAAGATGAGAAATGAAAGCATCTTGGATCTTAACATCCATAATCCAGATGTCAAATACTTTCCCACTAATAGCAGTTTCAGTTGTCTTCTCTACCCAACTATCATAACTCCCCAGTTCTCTCTTTTTTCTTCTTCTTATCTTTATCATCTTTGATAAAGATCATCTTTGATTATCATCTTGATTTCCCTCTTACTCCTTTATATGTAATGCCTACTGTGCTTTGTGTACCATTTCTATTGTATACCATTTGAAAATTCTAGCTTCAGTAATTCCTAATTTCTATGTTTAACTTCTAGGCCAGAATAAGAATGGTAATCGGCTATCTATTTGCCCAGCTCTGTCTGTGGACTCGCGGAATGCCTGGTGGATTGTTAGTGCTTGGAACAGCTAATGTGGATGAAAGGTGATTTATTAAATCTCTTTAATTGCTGATAACAATAAAAACATTGATTTATGGGGCTTTCTATTAGATATTCCTTCTGTGTAAATTTCAAATAGAAAGAAAACGGTTACCATATAGCGGTAACCGCTAACTTACAGGAAGATAACTGGACATGTTAACTCTGAAGTCTTTTCTCAATACTACATAAACTATAATAAAAAGTGGTCCGAAAAATAGTAACATTACATAAATTATAATTGACAGTTAAAAAGCTTACTGTAATTTTTTTTATTGACTGTGGATATATTTCTGAGTGACCTTCCCTCCCTTTGATTCATTCATACACATCCAATCGGAAAAGGCTGTAATGGGAGGAAAGAGAACAGCTTAACTTCATTTGACTTAATGGGCGCACTACAGCAGGTCTTCCTTACCCAGTCTGCAAACTTTTTCTCAAAATTATTGGACAAATTTATACAGTTATAATTGCAGAATAACTTTGGGGAGTGTTGAATATTGTCTTGATATATTTGTAAGCTTGTGTAAACAATGCATTACAAACTCTAGCTGACCAGATTATATGGGCTGAAGATAAATATCCAGATTTGTTTCCAATTATTTTAGGAGATCTCAACAAAGCCAACTTAAGGAAAGAGCTACCAAAATATTTTCAGCATGTCAATTGTCTCACAAGAGGAAAGAATACTTTAGACCATTGCTATGCAACATTAAAAGATGCTTATCAGTCCCATGAGCAGCTGTGGGACACTATGATTATTGCATGATTCACCATGTACTTGGGTACAGACAAAGACTTAAAACCATGAGATCAACAATTAAATCAGTGAGAACTTGGACTGAGAAGGCAAAGCTAAAGCTACAGGCTTGCCTTGACTCCACTGATTGGAATGTTTTTGAAGATACTTCTGCAGACTTAAAGGAACTCACAGATACTGTAACATCATATGCCAGTGTGCCAACCAGAAACCTGTGAATGTATAATAACAATAAACCTTGGTTCACAGCTAAACGTAAGCAGCTACGTCATACCAAGGAGGAAGCCTACAGAAAAGGTGATAGAAGGCTGTACAATCAGGCTAGAAACTTATTAACAAGAGAGATCAGAACAGCAAAAAGAAGCTACTCTGAAAAGCTAAGGAATCAGTTCTCAACAAATAAACCAGCAAACATGTGGAAAACTCTTAAAAATATCACCAGTTACAGCAAACCTCCTTCCCATGCTAAGGAAATCAACAACTGACAGATGATCTGAATGTGATTTACTGTAGGTTTGAGGGAAAACTATTGCCACCTATCTCCACAATCCCCATCTCAGACACACCCAACAACAGCCAAGTCTCCTACAACTGACCCCATCCCATTGGGCCCACCACGACTGGAGATTAGACAAAATGAGGTACAAGATCTATTTCACAGACAAAAGGCAGGAAAACCACCAGGCCCAGACAACTCCTTTTGCTTAAAAGCTTGTGCTGACCAACTGACCACAATCTTCACTGCATCTTTAATAAATCACTAGAGATGTGCTATGTTCCTTCTTGCTTCAAATGCTCTACTATCATCCCAGTGCCGAAGAAACCCTCCATCAAGGAACTGAATAACTTCAGACCAATTGCTCTAACTTCTATAGTTATAGATGTTTGAAAGACTAGTGCTGGCCCACCTGAAAACCATCACATATCCACTGTTAGACCCCTTGCAATTTGCCTACCGAGCAAATAGATCCACGGATGATGCTGTTAATATGACAACATCTTGAATCTCCAAAGACCTATGCAAGGCTCCACTTTTTAGACTTCAGCTCAGCATTCAATACCATCATTCCAGATATTCTTCTAACTAAATTAAATCAGCTACCTGACCACACTTGTAAATGGATCCTAAGCTTCTTAACAAACAGGAAGCAACAGGTGAAGCTAGGCAAAATCACATCAGATACTTGTTCAATTAGCACAGGAGCCCCCCAGGGCTGTGTGCTTTCTCCACTTCTCTTCTGTCTATACACCAATAACTGCATCTCAATAGACCCCTCTGTTAAAATACTGAAGTTTGCAGATGATACAACAATGATTGGTCTCATTCAAGACAACAATGAATCTGTATACAGACGGGAGATTGAACATCTAGCCTCGTGGTGCAACCAGAACAATCTTGAACTAAATACACTCAAAACCATAGAAATGGTAGTGGAATTTAGAAGAAATCTTCTATACTACCACCCCTTACAATACTAAACAATACAGTATCAACAGTAGAGACCTTCAGATTTCTAGGTTCTATCATATCTCAAGACTTAAAATGACACCTAACATGAAAAACCTAATCAAAAAAGCACAACAAAGAATGTTCTTTCTGCACCAACTCAGAAAGCTCAAACTGCCCAAAGAGCTGCTGATTCAGTTCTACAGAGGAATTATTGAGTCTGTCATCTGCNTCATTTAGGGTAAGAACCTTCAGCTGCAGTGAAGGCACAAGATCTTGGAATAAAAGAGCTGAGGTGGCGCAGTGGTTATGGTGCAGTACTGTAGGCCACTTCAGCTGACTGTTATCTGCAGTTCAGCGGTTCTAATCTCACCGGCTCAAGGTTGACTTAGCCTTCCATCCTTCCGAGGTGGGTGAAATGAGGACCCAGACTGTGGGGGCGATATGCTGACTCTATAAACCGCTTAGAGAGGGCTGAAAGCCGTATGAAGCGGCATATAAGTCTAACTGCTATTGCTATTGCTATAAAACCTTGGCTCTTTGGAATTTATTCTGACTAACCCTACATGATTGTGCTATATATAATGGATAATTGTGCACAACATAAATAAAGGAGCATTGCTTTACTCTAAAAACATTAATGATGCTAATTAGTGATCCCAGGAAGGTAAATGACATGATTTTGTGAGAGTGTGCTTTTTATATTTGTTTTAAAATATGTCTGCTGTATTTCAGCCTAGGTCCAGCATGTTGGCTTTGGGACTACTTAAGGTGTAGTAAACAGGTAAAGATTTTAATTTTTTTATTGACCCAAATTCTAAGCAATGGTAAAATCTGTATGAAGATTTAGGGAAAGAAGGGAAGGTGTGTGTCCCTCCCTTTGTCTGTGTCTATGTAGAAACTAGAAGCTTGCAATAGCAATTGACCTATATATGCTGCCTTTGGACTGTTTATGATCTTTGGGCTCTTTATGACCTGCATCATCTTCTATCATCTGTTTAACAGCTTGACTCTTTAATCTAGCTCGAGCAGTTGAAATGAAACTGAAGCTTGTTCCACACAGGAAGAGCTTAGGAATGGGCATTTTGCCATTGACAAAAACTCTTGCTGCCTGAGCTTGTTCTCTTCTCCCTTTTAATACATCATAGTTCCATATTATTATATTAGAGCAGGGGTATAAAACTGAAGGCTTAGTGCTTAGATATGGCCTGTGGGGCCGTCCTGGAAACAGTGAAGGCCTGGCCTGCAGTGCTTTTCCCAATGAAAACAGAGATTGGGAGGATCCATTTTTAGCCACGACGGCCTTCTGCAGCTCTCTGTCATAGGAAACGGAGCTCAGGGGGAGGGGAGTGATATCAAGCTGGTCACACTCCCCCTGGCCATGCCCCCTCTTCCCCAGCCTTCCCGAGGTCAGACACAGCCCTAATGTGTCCCTCAATGATATTGAGTTTGACACCCCTGTATTAGAAGATTTTACACTGAGCAAAAGGATAATGCCTTAGTGGCTTTTCAGCTGAAAACATTGACATAATGTGAAGTAAGTGAGTGCAATGTGAGTTGGGATTGTAATGAGTGGTGTCTTGTGTTCGTAACATTGTCCATCTGCTAATGACTTAAAGCAGGTATCCCACATTTTGAGTCCATAGGCATATTTGGAAATTAAGAGCATGTTACGCATACTCTCATAAATGGAAGGAACTCCCATTTATAAGAGTATTTATGAACTTTATACATGAAATGTAGCAAACTCCTTATGCCAGAACTCAGCTTATCTTTATGTTTACACTGTGCAGATGAACATGCTCCTGATTAGGTGATAGTCACCTGTCATATTATTTAAGAAAAATGCCTTTGATATCTGTATGAACTCCAATGTCAAGGTTCCGATTGACATTGGAAAGGAGAATCCTGATATGTCACATGAGTTTGACACCCTGTCTTAATACAAAGCTTTATTGAGTACATCATTTCGGCACACCATGAAAGCGGAAACAGTGCTAGAGAATTCCCAGGAAATCCAGTATTATTAAAATATAGAATCTTCCTTCCCCCCATTAATGCAGATCACATTGTCCAATTGGGTGTCGGGGTGGTGGTGTGAAAAGATCTGGTTTCTTGTTATTGTCTGGAATACATATTCCAATATTTCCCTCCCTTTCCCTCCTCCCCGGGTGTGTTGGCAAGCTGCGAAGCAATGAAAGTGAAAGCAGTTTGAATGCACTTCGAAGCTTGACATCCAAAGATAAATCTACAAAATAAACTGTGTTTACTCTGCTGCTTTTCTGTGACGTTAGTAGTTTCTAATTGACTTCTTCTCTAATTAAAAGAATCTTTATAGCGAGTGGGGGAAGGAAACTTAGTAAGCTCCAAGAGAAGTGTTGGTGTAGCGGTTGTCTCTGCTTAACAAGAAAAACTACTACAGTTGGTTAACTGCACTATTTCTGCCATAAGTAGGTTTGCAATTTTAGTTTGCTGATAATATATTTACCAAGTAAATTTAATTAGTGTGTGCTTGCCAGAACATGCATAATTTATATTTAATGAGGTTATATATCTCTTAAGAGTCATAATTCAGAAAGGCTGATAGGGTGGGAAGGGGAATATAAAAGTATTAAAATACCAATTCTTCCATATTCCTATGAATTGTTGTCTTTAATTGTCATTGTTAAGAGAGACAGTTCTGAAAAGAGAAGATCCAAATAGTAGATACAGATAGTCCTCGACTTACAACAGTTCACTTAGTGACTTCGAAGTTACAACGGCACTAAAAAAGTGACTTATGACCATTTTTCACACTTATGACCTTTGCAGCATCCCCATGGTCATGTATTTTGCATTCATGATGGTTGCAGTCTCCCCGGGTTATGTGATCTCCTTTTGCGACCTTCTGACAAGCAAAGTCAATGAGGAAGCCAGGTTCATTTAACAACTATGTTACTAATTTAACCACTGCTGTGATTCACTTAACAAATGTTCCAAAAAAGGTTGCAAAATGGGGCAAAACTCACTTAACAAATTTCTCACTTAAGATCATAAATTTGGGACTCAATTTTGGTCATAAGTTGAGGACTACCTGTAGTCTCAGCCAAACTAATATAAAGAACCTTCTTGTGTTACCTTTACAGCTGCAGGCTTTTCGACAATATTTTCTACATCTGTTTTCAAATTGTAAATTAACCTTCATTTTGGATGTTAATAATTATGGACCATTCATGGATAATTGTAACTAGAAATAAATAATGTTGAACTATAAAATTAATAGTTTGAAGATACAACTCCTGAAAAGTTGCATGCATGGTTCCCAACAATGTTCTAATTTGGTTTCCTTATTGTGATTGTTAAGGGAGGATTTTTCTTGCCACTTAGTGGTGGTGTGGACAGTTCATCTGCAGCCTGCATTGTCTATTCCATGTGTCTTCAGATTTGTTATGCAGTAAAAAATGGAAGTAAGTGCATTTTAGCAGTTTGGGTTACCCAAGGTTAGTTGTAGTTATATCAGTTTTCATATTTCCAGTAAACCCTTTCTATGTTTAATTTGTTCATTGAATATATGAACTTTTAAAAAATTGAATTACAGCATTGGCCCCTCGGGCTCCTTCGTTTTTTACATTATTTGATATTAACCTTTTTAGCAAATGTACAAATTAAACTGAATCTTTTGCCCTTAACCATTAATCTAGAGCAGCGATAGTGAACCTTTTTTGGCTCGCATGCCAAAAGCGGTGGAGAGTGCAGGGGGGGGTCATAATCCAATGTGCAATCCCCAGCGCATATGCGCACATGACAGGCACGACCACCCCATTTTTTGCATGCTTTTTTTGCACTCCCCAGGCTCCAGAGGCTTTATGGGAGCCTGGGGAGGGCGAGAAGAGCCTCCTGCGTCTCCGGAGGCTTCAGGAGCTTTCCTGAAACCTCCGGAGTGCAAAAAAACAGCCCTAAGGGCAAACCGGAAGTTCAGGAATGGACCTCCGGTTTGCTCAAAGGGCTGATTTAAGCCCTCCAGAGCCTTCAGGGAAGTCTCTGGAAGGCCCCTGAAGGCTCCGGAGAGCTTAAACTGGCTCTATGAGCAAACCAGAAGTCACTTCCTGTTTGCTCGTAGAGTCATTTTTCGTCCCTTTTTGTACTTTGGAAGCTTCAGGGAAGCTCCTGAAGCCTCCGGAGAGCCTCCAGGGTAGCAGGGGAGGGGGCTCTTTTCACCCTCCCCAGGTTCCTATAAAGTTTCTGGAGCTTGAGGAAGGCGAAAAATGGCCTCAAAAAAAGGCTAAAGTCAGCTGGCAAATGGCTCTGCATGCCACCTGTGGCACGCGTGCCATAGTTCACCATCCCGGATCTAGAGTGTATCCCCGAGTAATTCTCTGAGCATTTAACATATGTTTTAATATTAGGAAATTATAATTACAATTTATTATAATTATAAACATAATTATAACATCTGTTGGCAACTTCTTAAAGCAATTGCATCTTGTCCAAAAACCATGCAGCTGCCTTTCCACAGGTGTAATAAAATGCTGGGAAAAGATGCACATTTGCCTCTTGGAGTGTTATGCCCATCTATTCCAGGTTGTACTTTTGGTCAGGATGTTAATAAAATGATGAAATTTTTAATCTCTCTCTATACAACACATATCACCTAACATTTCCAGTGCTCGATTGCAGCTGTATTTTCTAGTAAGAAACATTAGTAGTGTGAGCAAAACCAATAATAATTGGTCCTTTGTTACCAGCCCTCTCACTGAGATGTTCCCAAGAGGCTTTCAAGTAAACCGTTTTGCCACACAATTTGAAAACTACATAGATGTATGTCTCTATACTTAAGAGTATTTGCTAACTAAACAGGATGAAATTAGCTTTAAAGATTTAGAACTTTAATGAAAGAGTATTTTGTTTTATCAGTCTCTTGCATAATGCAAAGGATTACATGATTGTTGAGTTCTGAATCACAAATCTTTTTCTCCAATATATAACTTGTGTTACATATATGTGCTTATCAATATAATTAGACTGGAGAAAATTAGTGTTGATTGCCAAAATTACTCTGAAATACTTGCTACTGATTATTGCTGCTGTATTTTTAATTTAGGAGGAGGAGAAATTAAAGGATGTCGCGATACCAGTAGTAATCTCTCCAACTTCAATCTGTGGAAATAGTTTCCGTCATTGAAAGGCTGACCTCTTACTCATTCTCTTTTTCTCTCTCTCTCTTGCCCTCTCTCTCTCACACACACAAACACACAAATTCCTTCCAGTTAGTGAAAATGTCTGACAGCTGCGAAGCTGGCAAAGAAGCCTCGTTTTCCCTGCTGCCCGCAGCTCTCAAAGGAAGGAGGCAGGGAAGCGAGCTCCGGGCCTCATCTCTGCCTCCTTTCTCGAGAGCTGGCTTTGGGGACAGCCAATCTTTCCCAACACTGTGCCCTTCACTCACCTTTCACCCGGAGGCTCTGCCAGCAGGTCACCTACCATTTCACCTCCTGAGAGAAGCTCGGGAGAGACGCGCAAATGGTTGCGAGGCTCCCGAGGAGGACACTGGACATCGGGGGTGGTGGTGGTGCGGACAGCATGGTGCAGACAGGCGGGGCAAGAAACAGAGGAGAGACTGGGCGGGTGGGAGGAGCAAGCGGGGGCAGGCCATGTGAGGGGCCATTCCAATACTGGGCTTCCGGAGGAATGGGTATGCAAATGCACGCAGGATTTCTGGCACGGGTACGCATGTACCGGATCGTACCCCCTGAAACCCGCCTCTGACACACACACACACACACACAGACACAGACACATATGTCTATGTGTATACACACCCACACACCTTTTGAGACTCATAGACAGACATAAAGACAATAGTCCTTTTCATGTTTGTCACTTATTATTGGTTGCTGATAGAGCCGTGATGGT